TGTTGAAAAACATTTAAACATGCCTGTGAACAAAAGCAGATAAAAAAAAAACTGTTCCCTCATGAAGATATGTTGAAGTTTATTTTTATCTAGTTAAAATAAACTTATCTAGTCCTTATCTGTATTTTATCTAGATTAATCTTCCTTCAAGTAGAAGGTATAGAAATGTAAAAAATAGATGGATTTAATACTTCAAACCTTCATCCTGATCTGCTTAACTTGTGGGAGTTGATGTAGTTTCCCAGCTTTGGAAGACGCGTGCAAATGATCTGAACACAAAAAAGAAAGGAGGGTAAGGAAGGGTCTTGGCGTGAAGGTTCCACAAAAAAAGGTTCCATATGATCTATAAAATATTGCTAAACTATATATGCGAATATCTCAAATTTAAGAGATACAAGACTTTTTTGGAATACCTTTTTTGGAGTGACACGAAAGATGAAAAATTAGACACTTTCTGTTTTTAAGCTCCCTCTGGTTATGTTACATGCAGTTGCATTCATAACACTATGAGTGGAAAGAATTAAAGGTCATATAAAGCTGCTTAAGAAAACAAAGTGCAGACTTTGGGTGGGGATTTATTTTTACACAGGGCCAGTGAGACGTGTCATCTGTCTTAGTCTTGCAGGTAATTCCCCCAAAAATACAGCTTAAACCATCATGCATTCACAGTGAGCAGCTCCAAAACATGACATGGCTATTTTTCATTGATATGGTGTGATACAAACAATAACATCATGATTCCAGATGTTCTGGGTCCCCCTTTCAGCCTGGTACCTCTTGAATCATCACCCCTCAGGTTGTCTCCTGTCATCATCCATCCACATTCCCTGGCTGAAAATGAACATTTCCAAGAAGCATTATCTTCCTGTTGAAAGGGGACCCCCCCCCTCCCCCCCCCCTCCCATCTCAGCCCATAGTTCCAGGAAAAAGTGAAAAAAAAAAAAAGAATTGCTAACGTGAGTGTTTACAAAGGCCTAACATTTGTAAAAACCTAGCAAAGTGAATGGAACCAAACCCTCTGCAAGACCAAAGCAAAGACAGAAAAATGAAACCCCTAATGTTAACTTCAGTGAAAAAGGGCTTTTTAGAGGGGAGATGGTTTTTAATCAAAACAGTTAGTAGCAGTAAGTCCGTTTGGGTTCAGCTGTTTTTGTTTGACTCAATTAAAGCTATTTTCCTTAAATTCTTAACATTTCTAACAACCAAGAATTCCTGCAGGTCATACCAGACCACACCAAATAAGTCTAAGCAATCATAATACGATGTACAGCATAAAATGGAAAAACATATTAATTCAGATTTAATAGTCCAAAGACACAAAGACAGGATGAGAGCTTAGCGATACAGTCTGCAGGTGGTTTTCACTGAATATGGAAACTGGTCAACTGAGAAAATATACTACGCTACTACTATCCTGCTACATACAATTTTACACAATTTAATCTGTTATAGGAGTATGTGTTTTTGTCTTTTATTTATGTTCACATGCTTCTCAATGTTTGGTTTTGTTGATTAATCTAATATTGTATCAGCCTGTCAGACTATAGAGGAAAATTAGCTTGTGTGGCTAAATCTGACATATGTGCATGATGACTTTAAGTGCTTGTTAACATGCATATCCTTTTTTTTTTTTTTAATAAATACAAACATAAAGAAACTTACAAAAGACTTTGAAAATCCAACCTGAACAGACCAAAACAGTGTGGGAACATCTTCACCAATTAAAAGAGGACAGTTAACTTAACATGCAGTGTTTCTTACTGAAGCGGGCTCTTTGCATCCCTGAGGTCTAACAAATCTACTGAATACATTTTCTGCCTCCCGCTGTGTGAGTTTTGCTGACACGTTACTTCCTTCCTTCATGCGTTGCACCCACTGACTACTTGGACTACCAATTAGACAAGATGACTGTCAATCAGCCTTTGTTAATGTTAGCAGTAATAAAGCACAAAACAAAAACTACAGTTTAACTGTCATGAATGACAGTTTTTGTATTTCAACAGATCGAGTGGTATATGAATTATTCTAGTTCCCAAAAAGAATGGTTTGCAAGTGACATAAACCTATATGTTATTAACAACAGAACAGAAAACAAATCAAATGTTTAAGCTAAGAAAATGTGCTGTTTTTTTTTATACCACTTCCTTACATGTTACTGCCATCAAATGGAAAGTGACTTTTTTTTCTTAAAATTGTAGATTTACTCAAGCGAAACATTTGATATGTTATCCGTGTGAAATAAATACTTTCAGTATATCCTAAACCTGCCATTATCTCAAATTAGTTTTAAGAATAAAAATGAATAGCGGGAGTTTTATTCACAAACATTATTATCAAAAACAAAATATGTACAGTAAACTTAAGTCAACTTGCAGCTTAAAATTTATTTTGAACAATTTCTGATTCATACTTTATGATTACTACTGTAGCACACACACAATCCTGAAAAACTAGAGATCATCTTGAGAAAATAGACAAACCAGTGGCCTATACATAAAATCATTGCTGTGTAGCACTTCTGGTGGTGAAAACGGGGAATTTTAATCATCTATTTCACCAAACACTCCTGAAACACACATTTTCTCCCTCCATACTATGAAAATAAATATTTTTTATGCATGTGACACAATCTGATGTCAAGTCTTTATGAATCCCATTACACACATTAGCTCTTTACAGGAACTTGGTGTCTTGTAAACTGAAGCTTCCCATAACCTTGAATCTTGGTTCAGTTCTGCTTTTCTTCTTTTGGGCATAAAGGACAAACTGCATTTGACATTGTGTTGAAATGTTAAAACACTTTGAGGACTCCATGTACAACACAACGTGAAATACGTTCACTTGTATGTTGGTGCGTCTCTTATAAATCCAAGTTATATATCTTTTTACTGTGTTTACCAAGAAGAAAGTCAACCACACAAGCTTACAGGTCCAATTCTGAGGCTGTTCTTCCACTAGGAGAATGTTAATTCTAATAAATACTTTCGCTTCTTCAGTCAGATGCAGTACTTTCTAACTGTAAATGTATTAAAAATACGTGAAAAATTATTTTTAAAAATTATTC